GGGGCGAGGATTGTGGGTTTTAGTCGGGCCTGTCCCTCTACAGCAGGAGTGTTCAAATATAGTGGAAAAATAGTATGGGGGCGATGTTTCCATTTGTGTTGGCGCATTTTTGAATATCTGTTTTTGAACAACAGCCCGTCCAAAGTCCGCCTGTAGGGGGACATGCCCGACCGAAGTGCGGGTGACGGTCGCTGCCAAGGAAGAGGGCCCTTGAAGGACATGGGTCTTTCGGCTATCGTTTCTTCTGCCTTTCGGGCCCCCTCCCAGGCCCAAAACCCTCGACAAGGGCGACTTTGGACGACAAGCTGGTGCCGGGGAAAGCCCCATAGGGTCCCAGGACCCGTTCCCATCGGGACCCCTCCTCCTTCATGGCAGTCAGGAGGCGTGGGGGTTCTCAGAAGCCCCCGCAGGGGCAGCCCCCTGACGCTTGCGCTGGCTCTTTGAGCTCTCTCACAAGCTGCGCCTGAGAAGAACCCAGACATGCGACGTCCTGATTTGTTTAGTACGGTGTCCCCCGAAGTCCAGACCCTTTCCCCAGGGCCGGTTTCTCATCCTGAGTCGTTTCTTGACGGTCCCGAGGTCTGGCGAGGGCCCCCTGGGGCCGAACGCGACCAAAAACTGGCCGCGCTGATTGTTTTTTTGCGACGCGATCCTGCCTGGGAACACGTCTCGGAAGCTCTCCCGACGATGCCGAAGCCGTCTCGGGATCCTCCCCCCCGTTCGCGGTCTCAGAGGGCCGCCCCAACATGCGCCAGAGAAGGTCGCTAGCAGTATGCCTTCTAGCAGTCTCTCTAACGCTCGTGTTCCTTCTTGTCCGTGTCATCATTTTTTTCCTCTTACTCCTCCTGCTCCATTCCTTTTCCTCATAGATAGCTTCTCCCGGTCGCACCCCGAGGTCGGTTTTTAGGGCGGGCCAGGCGTTTCGCCTGAGGCTTCCTCACCGCTCATAATTCGGAAGTTTAAAAGTTGGCAACAGTTTCACAGATGGAGGGCGGGTCGTTTTCGAAATGTGGTTTCACGGATTGAGGGCGGGTGATTTTCAAAATGTGGTTCTCGCCTTAGCGCGGCGCACATTCGTTTTAACATGTTGCAAGAATTTCACGTATTGATGGTGGGTTGTTTTCTACATGTGGTTCTCGCTTTAGCGCGGCGCACATTCGGTTTAGAAAGTTGTAAGAGTTTCTCAGGTTGAGGGCGGGTGATTTTCGAAATGTGGTTCTCGCCTTAGCGCGGCGCACATTCGTTTTAACATTGTGCAAGATTTTGACGCATTTCCATCATCAACGTGCCAGACATGGCGTTTTGGAATGATTCAGGATTATACGGGTGCAACAGTTATGTTCATTCGCTGTGTCGAAGTCCCAGGACTCGCGTTCTGGCACGAGTCAGGACTGTCAAGACGCAACAGTCATATTGATCCGTGTCTTTGGAATCCCGAGAACAATGTTTTGGCATGCTTCAGGGTCTTCCAACGGTTCTCTTCCAAAGAGGCAGTTCTTTCAATGGCGTTGTAGGGGCCTATGAAGAGGGAGCTTGGAGGGACGGTTTATCCCAACATCGTTGATGTCTCTTGGGTTTACACTGGTCCTCCTCCTCCTCCTCCTCCTCCTCCTCCTCCTCCTCCCCTCCTCCTCCTCCTCGCCTCCTCCTCCTCCTCCTCCTCCTCCTCCTCCTCCTCCTCCTCCTCCTCCTCTCCTCTTCCTCCTCCTCCTCCTCCTCCTCCTCCTCCTCCTCCTCCTCCTCCTCCTCTCTCGTCCCCTCCGTTCCTCCTCCTCGCTCCCCGCACTGCCGGTGACCGTCCCCCGCCTTCCTCCTGCTCCCCCCCGCGGTCTCGGAGGGCCGCCCCCTCTGTGCCCCGCCGGGCCTCGGCCCGCGCGCGGGGCCGCGCGAGTGGAGGGTCGCGCCTGGAGAGGACGCCCCGGACAGCATTCTCGGGGACCCCCGGGGGCGGGGACTTTCTCGGGGCCTCTCAGATTCAGAGGTTGACAGACCTCCTGCCCTGACACGTCGAGTCGCGAATTGGCCGCGTTCGGCTTGCGGGAGGGCGTCGCGGCCGTCACGTGTTTGCGGGTCCAGGCCTCCGTCGGTTGCGGTCCTATAGGCCGCTTGCATCGGTGATGCGACGACGAGGCATCGACGATGCGGCTCTCGACGTGTCGACCCCGCCCACTCGGGCCCCATCGCACTAGCCGGCGGCGAGCGAGAGGGGGAGGTGAGGAGGAGGAGGAGGAGGCCTTCTCGGAGGGCGCCGGGGCTTCTCGGGAGCTCTGTGGCCTTCTGGGAAGTTTCGGCACGAACGAGATGGGTACGGAAATCATGGGTAGAATGTCCAAATCAGCAGCTCCTGCCAGTTTTGAACAGGACTCGCTGTCCGCGCCGCCGCGGCCCGTGTCCATCTGAGACGCGCGGCCGCCCGCCCCACAGTGGCCGCTAATTATTGGTTTGGGGCAGCATTCGCTGTTGGGCATATTGTGCCCCTTCTTTCCGTGCCCACTTCGGGCGTCCAACAAGCTGTCCCGTGCTTCCGGGGGAGGCCCCGAGAGCCTCTCGGGAGGTCGGGGGGCACTGTTCGTGACGTGTCTATAATTGCATTATATGTTTTCGATTCATTCACGTAAGAAAATTTTCGATTGTTTAAATTTGATTTACAATCGTCAAAATGGCGTCTTGCATTCGATTTGGAAATCTCGCCGTCCGCGAGCCTTCTGGGGAGGCCCGCCCCCTGCTCACCTCTCCCCCCGGAGGGCTGGCCGCCGAAGCCGCTTCGGAGAGGCCTCCGAGTGCCCCGACCTCCGATGGGGGTCCCCGGAGCATGGCGCGCCCGTGCCCCGCGGGCAACGGGCGCGGCCCCGCGAGGGAGCTCGCCGGGCTGTACGCGTCGCTGTTGCCGGGGTCGGAGCGGCGGGCAGGGGCAACGTTGGGGAGGGGATCGATACCCCTGGGTGGGTGGTGGGTGAGAAAGGGGTCCTAAAGGTCTAGGCCTCCCAGATGGGGTCGGAGTAGATGGGGTCGGAGGATCGCGCCGCATCGCCGATGCATCGACGATGGGGCTCGATGTGGAGACCGATTTTCCCCACGCCGACGTCGCGGATGCGTCGCCGACGTCGCTGATGCATCGCCGATGCATCGCCGATACATCGGCGATGCATTGGCGATGCGGCGCGATCCTTCGACCCCATCTACTCGGACCCCATCTAGGAGGCCTCTAACGTTGGGGAGGGGATCGATACCCCTGGGTGGGTGGTGGGTGAGAGAGGGGTCCTAAAGTGGCCTGCTCTTCCACACGTTTGTGTCGTCATAGTCCAGCAGTGGCGAAGCGTCCTGGCTCGCCTACAGGCCCACCGCAGAAGGTTCTAATAACCGTTTGTGGTCTGCACGAAATGCTCTTCGAACATTTCTGGCTGAGGCTGTCTTGCTTTTAGTAATCGGTTTTATGCTTTAAGAACATCGTTCGTGTTCTTAGAACATTTTTGGGTTCTACGACAATTTCCTGGTAGGCCTATAGGAATGCTGGGACAGTCGGTCCATGCTCAATGAAGTGGCCGGTGTTTTAACGCGTTTGTGCTGTCATAGAGCCTTCAAACAGACAGCGCACACGGCACGGATTGAAGCAAAGAGCGCGCTGCGTGGAGAACGCACGAAGCTCGAACAAGCAGCAGCGCCTCATAGCGGCGCGCGCTGTAAACCAGAGGTGATGTGACAGAGTCTGCCAAAAGTCCACCCTGGCCGCGACATCTCACAAAACCCCTTTTCCTCCGGAACCCCCGGGTCCCCCCCCCTCCGAAAATCCCCCCGCCCCCTTTGCTCGAACCCTCCCAACCCTCTGCCCCCCCCTTCTCCAGGCAAACCCCCCCTAACACCCCCTCCCCCGGCCCCTTCTCTGGAAAACCCGGGGAAGTCACTGGTTCGAACCCCCCTCCCCCGTCCCCCTCCAGAAACCGGGAGGGGGTCACTACCGGTTCGAACCCCCCCCCACCCCCCCTTCGCCGCAGGCAGAAGACTCCCGGGTCCCCAACCACCGTCCTCATCACCGCCGCCCTCACCATTGTCCCCACCACCACCATCCCCACCACTGTCCCACTGTCCCCACTGTTTCACCCAGTGTCCCCACTGTCCCCACCAATGCCCACACCACCGTCGCACTGTCCCCACTATCCCCGCCACTGTCCCCATCACGGTCCCACTCTCCCCACTTTCCCCACCACTGGTCCCACTGTCCCCACCACTGTCCCACTGTCCCCACTATCCCCGCTGCTGTCCCACTGAGCTGTCCCACTGTCCCCACCACTGTCCCACTGTCCCCAACCACTCTCCCCACTGTACCACTATCCCATTCTCCCACCACCGTCCTCACCACCGCCCTCACCACTGTCCCCACCACCACCGTCCCCACCACTGTCCCTCTGTCCCCACCATTGTCCCAGTGTCCCCTCACCACCACCACCGACCCACCACTGTCCAACTGTCTCCATTGTCCCCGCCACTGTCCCACTGTCCCCACTGTTTTCACCACTGTCCCCACTTTCCCCACCAGTGCCCCATTCACTGTCGCACGTCCCCACTGTCTCCACCACTGTGCCCACCACGATCCCACTCTCCCAACTGTCCCAACTGTTCCCACCACTGTCCCCACTGTCCCCACCACTGTCCCACTGTTCTCACTGTCCCCACCGCTGTCCCACTGTGCTGCCCCACTGTTCACAGTGTCCCCACCACTGTCTCACTGTGCCCGCTGTCCACACCAATCTCCCCATTGTACCACTGTCCCACCACCGTCCTAACCACCGCCCTCACCACTGTGACCATCACCATCGTCCCCACCACTGTCCCACTGCTGCCCCGACCACCACCGTCCCCACCACTGTCCCACTGCTGTCGCCACCACCACCATCCTCACCACTCTCCAACTGTTTTATTGTCCCCACCACTGCCGCACTGTCCTCACCAGTGTCCCCACTGTTCCCGCCAGTGCCCCCACTGGCGCACTGCCCCCACTGTCCCCACCACGGTCCCATTCTTCCCACTGTCCCCACTCCCCACCACCATCCCCACCACCGTCCCACCGCTGACCCCACCAGTCCCCTCCCATCCAGAGTGGGAGAGGAGGGGGAGTCGTTGCGGCGAGGGGGGAGGGGGGGGGAGGGGGAGGGGGGGTTCGAACCGGTAGTGACCCCCCCCGGTTTTCCAGGAGGGGGGGGGGATGGGTTGGAACTCCCAGTGACCCCCCGCGGTTTTCGACGGGGGGGGAGGACGGGTTGGAAACCCTCAGTGGCCCCCCCCTGGTTTTCTGCCAGCATCGGTAGAACACGCTCTTTCATATATATATATATATATATATATATATATGTAAATGGATGAATAACTATGTGTGTATGTGTGTGCATGTGTATATGGCTGGGTCCAGATCGATGCCCCCCCCCTCAGCGGGTCCCCCTCTACCGTTTCCCCTAAGGCGGGTGCTCCAGCAGGCCACCGTTGAGCGCGTGACGCGTGCGGAGCGCGTGGGCATGACCGACGAGCTCCAGGGCGTCGCTCTTAGTGGGCCCTTGAAACGGCAGAGCAGTCGTTCTACCGTTTTCGAGAATCCGGCTCGTGAGTATGAAAGCCCAACGCAGGTGCCCACCGAAACACGACACAACATTGCGGCAGATTGGGGCCCAGCTGGGCAGGGGAACAACAGACGGCGACGGAACAGGAAAAATGGCGACGGTATCGGACAAACAGCAATGACAAATGGAACCAGAAACAAACATTGCCTTGTCGTGCCCAATAAGGTTAGGTCGGGCCTGTCCCCCTACAAAGGGATTTTGGGCGAAAAACTACACATACCCCCAACATATTCCAAACACATGCAACAATTGTCAAAAGATCGTCCCCAGACTACTCTTTGACAATTTTTGAATACTCCTCCTGTAGAGGGACAGGCCCGACTTCACACTTTTTGGAGTAATTTGTGCAAGTTTGATAACTTGGGAGCATTTTTGGGGTACCTTGAACTTTCCGTCCAAAGATCCGCCTGTAGGGGGACACGCCCGACCTAGCACTGAGGCGTCGACACGTCCTGGTCCCTGGGCTTCGCCGTGGACTGCATCCTCTCCGGGAGGCACGCGGCGCCGGGGGCGTTCGGCCACGGGGGCTCCCAGAGCTCCTGGGCCTTCGCGGACCCCGCCCACGGGCTGGCTCGGAGGAGGAGGCAACGGCACGAGCATGAACTCTGCGACGTCAGAGAAGAAGAAGAAGAAGAAGAAGAGGAAGAAGAAGTGAGGGGCCTGTTTTCCAGCACCACCACCATGAGTTGGAGGGGGGAGGGGGTCCTCCTCCCCCGCGTCTTCTTCTTCCTCCTCACCCTCCACCGCCTTCCTCCCTCCAACTTATGGTGGTGGTGGTGGTGGAACACGGGCCCATTAAGAACATACCGATGTCGCTGCCCTCCCCTCGTCGCCACGGCTGGATGTCAGAGAAGAAGAAGAAGAAGAAGAAGGTACCGATGTCGCTACCCTTGAGTCGGGCCTGTCCCTCTGCAGGGGGGAGATTCCAGAATGGCTTAAAGGATAACATGGGGACGATGGTTTGAGCATTCTTGGGCGCATCTTTCGAGTATGTTTCATTCTTCGCCCGAAATCCCCCTGTAGGGGGACAGGCCCGACCGAACGCTACCTTTCCCTCGTCGCCACGGCTGGATCCGCCCTGACATCTCTGTCGGAACGCATCCCGAGATAGGTCCGAGAAGTACAGACGGGGACCTGAAGAAGGAACCCTTTTCGTTGGGGAGGGGCTCCGTGTTCCTCAAGTGTTTCACAGCTTGCCTCAGGTTTTCCTTATGTTCTCGATGGGAAATCGAAGTTCAACTTGTGGAAGAAAGGGGCCTCGTTCCTTATTGAGGGTTCCTTAGGTCAACGCCGCGACTGTAGCGATCTCGGCATGTGTCTGCCCTCCGGGGATGTGCACGCCGATTTTTCTTGGATCGGCCTTGGACCCTGGCCTGGGCGCGGCGCGGGAGGGGGTCCGGCGCCGAGCCAAGAAAGCCGCGCGGACGTCCGCAGGTTTGTGTTTGTGCTGTCTGCTCTTCCTCTGCTGGCGGTGGCCTGCCTGTGCAACGGGAAGCCAGGCCCGGACGTCCACTACCGGCGGGTTGGCGCCGTAAGCACGGCCGTGTACGAGGATCTGGGTCTGGCGGAGCAGGGCGCAGATGGGAGAATGAAAATCGGCGTGGACATCAGTTTTCGGAGGTCCGCTCGGATTTCTCGAATCGGCTCTGTTGATGTTGATGCTGATTATGCTGGTGATGGTGATAAGCAGCATCATCACCGCCGTCACGGTCGTGAGCGTGATCTTGGATAAGAAGCACATGTTTTGGTGTTGAGCGAGACCAGGCTGGCGCTGAATCCCTCCGACGCGCTCACTGCACCGCTGCTGGCCGCCAGTGCTGGTACAGAACTCCGCGCGGACCTCCGAGAGCTTGGGTGTTCTGCCGATGTTTCTTCTCCCGCAGAGGCCCGCCGCTTCGCGCTTCCAGCTGGTATGGGGACGTTCTAGGATCGGGCCGGACGAAAAGGGGGGAGTGGGAAAGAGGGGGTTACGACATCTGCTGCGTGCAGCTGGTGTCGGCCCCACCGAGGGGCCCATTCCTCGATGCGCAGCCGCCTCCGGCGCCAGGAGGCGCCGGGAAGATCAGCTGCGTGAGCTGATTCTCAGACCCCCCCCCTTCCCTGACCTTCCAGGAGGGCTAAAAGATAGCACCAGGACGAGTGGTTGGCATTTTTTTGCTACCACTCTGCGGCGGCTTCCCGGCCTCGAGAGGCCCTCCGGCGGCCGCGCCTCGCCGAGGAGAGAGTCCAGCGGGTTCCCACCCTGACCTTCCAGGAGGGCTAAAAAATAGCACCAGGACGTCGACGTCCTCATTCCTGTCGAGGCTTGAGGCAGTCCAGATAGATCTCTAGGTCTGGAGTGCTACAGTCGGGGGACCTGAAGAAGGAACCCTTTTCGTTGAGGAGGGGCTCCGTGTTCCTTAAGTGTTTCACAGCTTGCCTCAGGTTCTCCTTATGTTTTCGATCGGAAATCGAAGTTTAACTTATGGAAAATATGAGCCCTCGTTCCTTATTTAGGGTTCCTTAGGTCAACGCCCCGACTGTATTTTTTTGCGCCCTGGAAGGTCAGGGCAGATGCCGTCCCGATCGGCCGACGGAGGCCCGCGCTTCTCTGCCCGAGGGCCGCAGAGGACGAGGAGGAGGAGGAGGAGGAGGAGGAGGAGGAGCAGGAGGAGGAGGAGGAGGAGGAGGGAGGAGGGAGGAGGAGGAGGGGAGGAGGGAGGAGGGAGGAGGAGGAGGAGGAGGGAGGAGGGAGGAGGAGGAGGGGGGAGGGAGGAAGGAGGAGGGAGGGGAGGAGGGGGGAGGAGGCCAGCCTGGAAGGTCAGGGTTTGCTATCCCCCCGTTCGCCCAGCCCGGGAGGAGCCCCGCGCCCCCGCCGCGGTCCGCGCGGCGGGCCGCCCTCGCCGCGGCAGGCAGCGCCACGGGCGCCCGCGGAGGGCCGTCGTCGTCGTCGTCGTCGTCGTCGTCGTCGTCGTCGTCGTCGTCGTCGTCGTCGTCGTCGTCGTCGTCGTCGCCTCGGGGGGCTCCCCGCCAACGCCGAGGCATACGCAGACACCCTCCACCGGGCTGCTCCCCGGCCTCAGGGAGGGTCTCGGGGTGGACAGACTTAAGTCGGGCGTGTCCCCCTACTGGGGGATTTTCGGCGAAAAATGAATACACCAAACATTGTCAAAAGATAGTCCAAACATAGTCTGGGGATTATGTTCGGAGTATTGTTTGACCCTTTTGGGGGTATTTTTGGGGTATCTTTTATTTTTCGTCGGAAATCCCCATGTAGGGGGACACCCCCGACATAAGGATGGACCTCCTACCCTGACACGTCGATTAGTGAAGTGGCCGGTTGCGGCTCGCGGCGGGGCGTCGCGGCCGCCATTTTTGCGGGTCCAGGTCCGCCGGTTACGGTCCCAGGCCGTCTTCACTAAGGGGAGGTTTACTAAAGGGAGGTTTGTCCACCGCCGAAGGGAGGGTGGCGGTGCAGAAATCACCATCGAGAGCCGGCGACGTTCTACACCGTCCCCACCCCGAAGGTACACGCAGGGCTCGTCGGAGGGCGTCCTGTGCATACCCCAGAGGGCCTCCAAAGGGGGTTTGGGGGGAGGGGGGGCTTTTTCCTGCGATAACCCCAGGGGCCTCGGAACCTCGTCGAAACAGGGGGTGCGAAGCCTCTGGGGGGACCCCTCCTGGAGAACCCCCTCCCCCAAAAAACCCCTTTGGAGCCCTCCGGATAGACAGTCGGCCCAGATTAGTAGGTCGACCCTGCCAAAACAATGGTACCCTTGTGTCCTGTGTCCCGCGGCCCATGCCCATGCTTCCTACGTTCCTGTGGCAATGGGGCCCCCGGAAGGGTCTCGTGTCCTCTCGCGTGTCCTGCCCAGCCGAGTCCGACTGTAGCTTCGTCGCGCGCAGCGGCGCCCGCCCCTCCGCGAGGAGCCTCGAGGGGGGGGCGCCCTCCCTGGTGGCGCGGGGCCCCCCGCCCGTGAAGCAGCAGCTGGCGGGCGACGAGCCGGCCCCCGGGGGCACGGCCCACGCCTGCCTGGGGGCCCACGCCGTGGCAGCAACAGCAGCGACAGCAACAGCAGCAGCAGCAGCAGCAACAGCAACAGCAGCCACGGCAACAGCAACACCAAACGCAACGGCGACAGCGACGATAACAGCATCAGCAGCAACAGCAGCAACAGCGGCCGCAACAGCAGCAGCACCAACAACAGCAATAATAACAGCATCAACACCAAACCAACAACAACACCGACAGCAACCACAGCAGCAAGAACAACAGCAACAACAGCAGCAGCAACAGCAACAAAACCAACAGCAACCACAGCAACACGACAACACCAGCAACAGCAACAGCAACAACAACAGTTGACAATAGCAGCAACATCAACAACAAAAGCAACAACAGCAACAGTAGCAACGGCAACACCAAACCAACAACATCAGCAGCAACAGCAACACAAATCATGTCAAGACTGTTCACTCTTACTGGCACGCGTGTTTCTGCATCCTGTATGCCCCAACCCTCGATACCCGCCTACTTCGTCTCCGATCGCACCCTCTTTCGGGGGGAACATCTTCCTTGTCGACCATTGACTGCAGTGCGAGGAACTCTCGAGCGACCTCGTGGGCCTCTTTGGCCAGGCCAGGGGATCTCGGAATACACATTGAGAAATATGGAACGGGAACCCTTGTCGCCGTGTCTGGGCCTCCACTAACTTGTTTGAATTACGAGAAAATCTCGAGCGAGAGCGCCACTCTTGAGTTCGGGGGCCTCTCTGGAAAGGGCCTCTGCGAATACACCTTGAGGAAGTATCGAACGATACCCCTTGTCGTAGTAGTTGGGCCTCCACCAATTTGATTAAATCACGAGGAAGTCTCGAGCGAGAGCGCCGTTCCTGAGTTCGGGGGCCTTCCTGGCCAGGGGCGCTCGGAGTAAATCGTGCGGACGTATCGAGCAGGAGCCCTTCTCGTCGTGGCTGGGCCTCCGCAAATTCGACTGAATTGCGAGGAAGTCTCGAGCGAGAGCGCCGTTCCTGAGTTCGAGGGGCCTCTCTGGCCAGGGTGTCTCGGAGTAAATCGTGAGGAAATATCGAGCGGGAGCCGTTGTCGTCGTAGCCAGGCCTCCAAGAGCCCACTTTTACACTCAAGCCAACGCTCGCGCGGGAGCCTCGTTTTCAGAGAAAATGTAGCCGGCGTCGAGGCGAGAGCGCGCGGAACCGTTTCTGGAGATCAGCAAGAATCAAACAACAGCAACAACAATCATTTTAAGACTGTTTGCCCGTATCTGCTCGAGTGTCCAACAACGCGTATTTCCCAAACCCTCGATACCCGCCCTCTTCGTCTTCGATCGAACCCCTTTTGGGGGGTATACTTCTCTTCCCTGCCAGGCCCTGCAAGCCGGGCCCCAGCGAGCGGCGGGGCGGCCGCGGACCGTCGGCCTGGCCAGCGGCAGCGCTGATCGGCGGGGCGGCCGCGGACCGTCGACCCGACCCTAAGAGGGACGGACAGGGGACCGACCACGACGACGACGACGACGACGACGACGGCGACGGCGACGGCGACGGCGACGGCGACGGCGACGGCGACGGCGACGGCGACGGCGACGGCGACGACGACGACGGCGACGACGACGACGACGACGAGCGAACACGAGAGCGAGAGAGAACGACAGCAGGGCCACGAAGGACACGAAGTAGGCCACGAAGGGCGACAGCGGGGACACGGAGGGAATACGTATGGGGCCACGAAGAGCGCGAACGAACGGGGTCCACGAAGGGCAGATAATGCGGGGCCACGGAAGAAACGATGGGGCCACTGAGTGTAGCAACTGGGCCACGTAGGACAGTGAGGGGCCACAAGCCGCGACAGCGGGGCCACGAAAAGCATGCGCATGGAGCCACAACGGGCGCGAACGAGCGGGGGTCACGAAGGGCATGCGTATGTTGGGCCGCGGAGGGCAAGGGCGGGGCTACTGAGGGCAGCAACGGGGCCACGAAGGGCAGCGAGGGGGCCACGAAGGGCGACAGCGGGGCCACGAAGGTCATGCATATGGGGCCACCACCGGCGCGAACGAGCGGGGGCCACGAAGGGCATACATATACGGAGCCACGAAAGGCAGCGACGGGGGCCACGAAGGGCTGCAACGGGGCCACGAAGGGCAGCGAGGGGGCCACGAAGGGCTGCAACGGGGCCTCGAAGGGCGACAGCGGGGCCACGAAGGGCAACGAGGGGGCCACGAAACAGAGCGAGGGGGCCCCGAAGGGCTGCAACGGGGCCACGGAGCAGCACGAAACAAAGCGAGGGGGTCACAAAGGGCTGCAACGGGGCCACGAAGGGCAGCGAGGGGGCCACGAAGGGCGACTCCAGAGCGCCAGTAGAGCGCTTCCTGAATAAAATGCGAGGGAGTATCGGGCGGGAGCGGGGGTCCTGGTTAAATTGTGAGGAAATCTTAGGCGGGAACAATCGTTGCTGTAACCACGGGGCCAGGGGCACAGTTTGTGCATCAAGACTTTCCCTGTCAGAAAACAAGGTGCGAGCGTCGAGGGACACACATTGATTGAGAAAATCAGTATGCACCGGTGGGGAGATCAACCATAGTTATTCTTCCGAAGTGAGAACTCAACAACAACAACAATCATTTTACCCTCATGCGCGATGTCTTCACACGAAACATGCGACCATCATGATAACCATCCCCATCATGGGGGGCTCTTGTTCTACAGCCGGGTCCGTTACTCCCATTCCCAGATATCCCGCCCAATGCGGTCTTGCAAACACCTCCTCCGAGGAATTTCAACATATCCCGCCTCGGAAACACATGCCCGCGCACTGCTGTGCCGATGCGAGACCGCCAGTGGCGCCCCAGCGAAGGGTAAAGCACAAGTGGGGATGGGGGCTGTCGGCGGCGAGGCCGATGCAAGGACCTCGCCTTGAATTGCAAGTAAGGAAGTCTCGAACAGGGCTGCTGTTGTTGCTTTGAGTGGCGCCAGTGCTGAAGAGAGTAGGGCCGCTAGTCCGGCGCAAAACAAATCGAATTCTCGAGCGGGAACACTGATTTTATTGAAACGGCAGTTTCCGACGGCGAGGAGGAACACCGCTTTGAGTGAAAAGGGGAGAAACCTCGAGCGGGAGCCGTGGTTTTGTCGGGATGGGGGCTGCCGGCGGCGAGGAACAGCAACAGCACCGTCCTGAGGAAAAAGGGAGGAAGCCTCGAACGGGAGCGATGTTCTTGCTGGGAACGGCGCCGATTCAAAAGAGAGTTTGGCGCCAGTCCAGCGTAAAACTGGAGGAAGTCTCGAGCGGGAGCGCTGGTTTTGTCGGGACGGCGGTTTTCGGCGGCAGGGAGGAGCACCGTCTTGAGTAAACAATGGGGAATCTCGAGCGGGAGCTCTGTTTTTGCTGCGGGCGGCGCCGAAGAGAGAAAGAGTAGATCGCAAGTCCTAAGTAAATTGGGAGGAGGTTCAAAGAGGGAACGCTGGTTTTGTTGGGACGTCGGCTTTCGGCGACGAGGAGGAGCACCGCCTTGAGTAAACAAATGAAATCGTGTCTGGCGGGAGCGTTGTTTTTGCTGGGGGTGGCGCCGATGGGAGAAAGAGTAGCGCGCCAGTCCAAGGTAAAACGGGAGGAACTCTCGAGCGGAAGCGTTTTTGTTGGGACGGCGGCTTTCGTCGGCGTGCAAGAGCACCAGCCCTGAGTAAGAACAAAACTCTCGAGCGGCAGCGTTGTTGTTGTTGGGGGGCCAGTTGTGGCGCCTCCACAAACCGCTCGAACGTGAGCCTTATTTTCGATGAAAATGCAGCCGGTGCCGAGGCGAGAGCGCCAGGGCGCCTAGGGGGGTCCAAAATAATAATTGTTGAACTAATAAGCATTAGGAAACCTCGAGCGGGAGCCGTGGTTTTGTCGGGACGGGGGCTGTCGGCGGCGAGGAACAGCATCGTCTTGAGGAGAAGGTGAGGAAGCTTCGAGCGGGAGCGTTGTTCTTGCTGGGAGCGGCGCCGATTCAAACGAGAGTAGGGCGCTTGTCCAGCGTAAAACTGGAGGAAGTCTCGAGCTGGAGCGCTGGTTTTGTCGGGACGGCGGTTTTCGGCGGCGAGGAGGAGCACCGTCTTGAGTAAACAAGGGAAAATCTCAAGCGGAAGCGCTGTTTTTGGTGGGTGCGGCGCCGAAGAGAGAAAGAGTAGCGCGCCAGTCCAAGGTACAACGGGAGGAAGTCTCGAGCGGGAGCGCTTGGTTCTTCGGAGCGGCTGTTTTCGGCGGCGAGGAGGAGCACCGCCTTGAATACAAAAATGAGGACGTCTCGCGCGTGAGTGCTGTTTTTGCTGGGCGGCGCCGGTGAGAGAAAGAGTAGCGCGCCAGTCCACGGTAAAACGGGAGGAAGTCTTAAGCGGAAGCCCTGGTTTCGATGGGACAGCGGCTTTCGGCGGCGAGCGAGAGCACCAGCCTTGAGTAAAAAAGGAGGAAGTCTCGAGCGGGAGCGTTGTTGTTGTCGGCCCCCCAAACCGCTTGAGAGTGAGCCTCATCTTCGATGAAAATGCAGCCCGCGCCGAGGCGAGAGCGCCAGGGCGCCTGTAAGGGGTCCAACAATATTAGTACTTGTTTATTAATTAACATTCAACAGCAACAACAAAAAGGTCAAGGCGGTCATGAGGGACGCGTGCCCTGCGTACGCCTTGCCCGCCTTGACTACAGTAGTCCAGGCGGGTGAACAGGACGCGTGGCCAGCACCCCCCTCAAACAACCCAGCAACCAAGCAACCCCAACCAAACCAACAAAAAAGGATATCCTTTCCTTAGGCCCTCCGGAGGAAGCCCACTGCGGATTTCGATAGTTTCTCCGGCGAGGCCCCGGTCCTGTGCTAATCCTGGACTTCCATGGGGGCTCCGATACGATCCGTATAGAGGCCCTATAAGAGCCTATGAGATCCCTGTAGTGACCCTATGAGATCCCTGTAGTGACCTTATCGGGATCCCACACAATCCCTATCAGGATCCGACAAAAGCCGTATAAGTATCCTACTAGCTGGAACAGGATCCCTACACGGATCCTACCAGCTGCAATAGGATCCCTACAGGGATCTTATCAGCTGTCATAGGATCCCCATAGACATCCGACCAACTGCAATGATATCCTTATCGGAAACCTACCACCTGCACTAGGATCCCTACAGGGATCCTACTAGCGGAGGATCCTTAGGATCCCAAAAAGGATCCTCCCTGCGGCGCTAGGGTCCCTATAGGGATCCGACAGAAACCCTACAGGAATCCTACAGAAGCTCTAATATGGATTTTACAGAAACCCTATAGGGAGCCTGCAGGATCCTTGAAGGGATCCGACCAGCTGAGATACATCGGCGCCGAGAAGAAAGCCCGTGGCGCCCGCAAGGCCTTCAGCATCCCGACGACGCGCGTCGATGGGGATCGGGAAATATGGAAATATGTATGTGCGCGTGGGCACGTGGGTCATGGATGGAAAAGCGCGCGTGGGTTAGTTTCGTACTGAAGCAATGCGCCGAGCCAGGAGACGAAATACAGGCTGTGTAGGAGGGAACCGTCCACTGTTGCATCTTGTCCCGACGGTTCTCCTCTCCCTCCCTCTCCTCCCCCTCACCCTCCTCCGTCTCCTCCACCTCCTCCTCATCCTCCTCCTCCTCCACCTCCTCCACCTCCTCACCCTCATCATCATCCCTCCTCCTCCTCCACCTCCTCCTCCTCCTCCTCCTCCTCCTCCTCCTCCTCCTCCTCCTCCCCATCATCCCTCCTCATCTCTCGGAGGCCTGCGGAGACCCTCGGAGGCCTGAATCAGCTGCCGAGCGCGTGCCGCACAACCTCCGCACGCTCCCGAGGCCCCTGGGACTCCCCGGGCCAGGGCACGAGCCTCTGTCCTCTTCGCGCCCCGCGGGGGGGGACCAAAGAGCCTGAAGGCCTGGACGAAGGAGGACGAAGACGAGGAATGTTGACTCCGTTTTGTTCTGAATATCGTATCCGCCAGCGCTCACGAGGAGGATTTTTGCCCCGTGTCTTTGAGAATGCGACTTGATCTTTGGAGCCACCTTCGGAGGTCTCTGGAGCCTCACCGCCAGTCTCGGGACCAGCTCAGGCCGTCTTGGAGCGCTCTCGGACCGTCTTGCAAACCCTCTTGGGCGTCTCTTGGGCCCGCGCGGGCAATTCGACCACGTGGTGAAGCCGTGAAGGGGCGAGTTTCTGCACTTGAGTCCCCACCTTTCCCGCACGCGCAGGGGCAGGGCGGCGTTTTGCCGAGATAGACGCGCTGATAGCGTGCGGTAACGAATCAGGCCTCCTTTATGCTATTCTTCCTCCTCCTCCTCCTCCTCCTCCTCCTCCTCCACCCCATCCTCCCCATCAACATGCCCATCCCCGTCCTCATGCAGCTGCTCCTCTTCTTCTTCCTCCTCCTCCTCCTGTTCCTCCTTCTCATCCTCCTCCGCCTCACACGCAACGCTGCGGAACCATAGGCCGCAATAGCGCAGTTAAGGAATCTGATTGGACCCCAAAGGAACCATCAGGTTCCCCTAGGGAATCGCCTGGGATCCCAGGGAATCCCCAGGACCCTCTAGGGAATCCTTCAACCCCTCTCTGGGGAATCATCACGACCCCCCAGGAATCGTCAGGAAACCCTGGAGTTTCTTGAAGAACCCTTAGGGAATCCTCACGAAAACCTCGGGAATCTTGTGAACCCTTAGGGAATCGTCGGTGACCCTTGGAGGATCCTGACCAGGGCATTCTGGGGGCCCCCCAGGAAAGCCACAGGATGCCTTACGGAATCTTCAGACAGCCAGAGGACATCCTGAGGAACCGCATGCGGAATTACCAGAAATCGTTAAAGGGGTCCTCAGGAATCCCTGAGGAGTCCATCGGAAATGCTCCAGAATCCTGAAGACACCTTTTCGGCTCCTCAGGAACTCGAAGGGAATCACCTGGAACCCCTTGGGAATCCTCAGGAACCGCACAGGGAAACATTTGGAATCTGAAGAGGATCACCACGAAACTCTCAGGACTGGTAGCCGTGAGGACCCCAAGTAATCCTCGAGGTCCCAGAAAGCAACCTCGGGAATCTCTGGGGGAATCCATAGGAGACCAAGGTTTCCTCAGAACCCCCGAAGCGGACCCTGAGGAATCCTGAGGAACCACCCAGGAATCTTTGGGAATCTCACGGAATCCCATGGAATTCTGAGGCATCCCGAAGGAATCCTCAGGAACCCCTCGGGCATCCTCAGGTTGCTGGGTTGCTGGGTGACTGGGGGGGGAGGCGATCCTCAAACCCGCCTTGTCCAACAACAACCACAACCACAACCACAACAACAACAACAACAACAACAACAACAACAACAACAACACAACCAACACCAAACACAACAAACACAACAACAACAACAACACCAACAACAACAACAACAGCAGCAACAACAACAACAACAGCAACAGCAACAGCAACAGCAACAACAACTACAACAACAAACAAAACAACACCACGCCGAGTGCCTGGAGAGGGGCGCCCGCGCGCTCCCTCTCAAGGGACGCCCTGCCGCGCGAGCCGGGCGCCTTCCCCCCCCCCCCTCTTGGGCCCTCCACCCCCCGGCCCTCCGCGCGCGGCGATGCCCGAAGTCGTGACCGGCGCCGCCGGTGGGCCCCTGCCCCCGGGCCGGCAGACGCGATGGTCCAGAGGCGCGCCGCCCCCGCCGTCGGCGTTGGAGACTGATTTTTGTTTCGGGTCGGGCGATAGCCCGGGTCGTCGGGCTTGCCCTCCCCCCCCCCTTCTCCCCCAGCATCGCCTAACCTTGCCGGTTGGGCAGGTCCGCGGGAGGGGGGCGCCGGCACATGCAGGGCTGCCCACAGCGCGAGGGTTAGGTTATCCTCCTCCTCCCCTCCCCCCCGGGGATAACCCGGGTTATCGCTGATTCAAATAACACGGTCTCTTGGTTGCCGCCGCCGTCCCTCGGGGAACGAGCAGTGGCATCAACACTCAGACTCGGAGGTCCGCGCGGATTTCTCGGGTCGGCGCTGGGCCTCCCTGGCGGCGCTTCCGGCGCCGCTCCTGGCGCACCCCGCGCGCCAGGATCAGAGGCATAGTGGACGAATATCAGAGTCTCTTGGGGGGCTTCTCGGGGGCCTCTTGTAATTATTTGGGCTCTCTGCGGCCTGTTCTGGGCCTCTGAGGGCCTCTTGGGGTTCTCTTGAGGGCCTGTTGGCGGTCTGGGGTGTGATCTTGGGGTGAAGGGCCTGACATGTAAGTGTGTGTGTGTGTGTGCGTGTGCGTGTGCGTGTGCGTGTGCGTGTGTGTGTGTGTGTGTGTGTGTGTGTGTGTGTGTGGGTGTGTGTGTGTGTGTGAAACATGTGCGGCGTCCTTGTGTCCCCTATTGGGGCCGTCTTGGGTCTTTGGGGCCTCTTGGGCCAGTTAGGGTCTTCTGAGGCCATCTTGGGGCCCGCGTTGGGGCATTTGTGGGCAGTCCTGGGGCGATATTGCAGGCCTCTTGGGCCGTCTTGGGGCGTTAGAACAACAAACAGGCGGGGACGCCAACATCCGTCGAGCGCGTTCCACATACATGAAAGATGTGTGCCTTTTGGGGCCCTCTTGGAAGTCTTCTCAGGACCCTCTTGGGCTGTCGTGGGAGCGTCTTGGGCCATATTGATACCATCTTGGGCGTCTTGGAGCGCTCTTTGACCGCCTCGGAAGCCTCTTTAACCGTCTGCGGGGCCTCTTGGAGCCCTCTTGGTCCGTCTTGGGGCCCTCGGGTTTCGATAGAAGCCACGCGACAAGCCCCAGGATCGCCCAAGAGTGCCCAGAACTCGGAGTCGTCAACCCTGTTCAGGCATTCATATGAGCCCGGCGCGACCCGGATTAGTTCTTGGCAATGTACAGCAATGCAATGCAACGTTTTGCTTGGCGTCGTTTGGTGTCGTGTTGCGTTGCTTGGTGTTGCTTAGAGTTGCTGGAAATCGTTGCTTCAAATCGTCGTTGGCATTGCGTGGCGTTGTTTCGCATTGATTCGCATTGCCCAGCATTGCTTAGTGTTGATTGCGAAGGCCTCACTTGTGCTTCCGACCCTGAAGGGAGACGACGACGACGACGACGACGCTGACGTGGGCCAGAGCCCTCATGGATGGTTCTTGGGGTCTCTTCGGAAGTCTCTCGGGGGCCTCTGGGTAGGAATTTCAGGGCCTCTTGGGAGTCGCTTGGGGGCCTCTTGGGAGCGTCGTGGCGGTCTCTTCGGGCTTTCTGGAGAACTCTTGTGGGCCTCTTGGGGCCTCTTGGGAACGTCTTGGGGCGGGAGCCTCTTGGGACCGAGGGCACGCTCTTGGGGCGGGAGCCTCTTGGAGCCTCCGTCTGGGCACGCTCTTGGCGCTGTCTTGGGGGCCCGTTAGGCCGTCTTGGATGCGTTTTGGGCTGTCTTGGGGTCCTCTTGAGCTATTTTGGGGCCCTCTTGGAGGCATCTTGGGCTGTCTTGGGGCGATCTTGAGGGCCGCTTGTGCCGTGTTGGAGCGGCGGAAGGTGGAAAAGGCGAGAACGCCCAAACATGAGGAAAAACCAACGGGAAATCAATGAATTTGGCCTTTTGGGTCCCTCTCGGAAGTGCTCTCGGAGGCGTCTTGGGGCGTCCTTGAGGTCTCCTGGGCAGTCTGGAGGGCGTGAAGGCATGTTGAACCGATCGTTTGGCGATTGGGTACCCTCTTGGACCATCTCGGCGGCCTCTTGGGGTACTCTTGGCCTGTCTTGGTACTTCCTGAGGCCCCCGGGCCGCCAGGGGGGGATGCGTATCTGACCCCCCCCCCGCCCCGGGATTCCCCGGACACCCCCCGGGACCACCTCCCCGGGGACCCCGCCCACCCCCCCCGACGGGGGAGCGATCAAAGGGAAGGGGCTTCTCTTCGACTCGATTACGACATTGCTAGATTTTTCTCTCGCTGACAAGCTAGTGGAGGAGGGTGCAGGGAGAGGAGACGACGGAGACGACGACTGACGGAAACGACGACTCGAACAGACAAGCCCCTCACGCACGCCGACAGGGTCGACTGATTTTGATTCGATTGTTCGGCATTGCTTGGCATGACTTGGCATTACTTGGCGTTGTTTGGCGTTGCTTCGCGTCACCTGAAGTTGCTTGACGTTGCTTGGCATCGCATGGCATTGCTTGGCATTGCTCTGCATTGGCTTTGCATTGCTTGGCGTTGCTTGGCATTGCTCTGCACCATTGCTTGACATTACTTGGCGTTGCTTGGCATTGCTCTGCATCATTGCTTGGCATTGCTTGGTGTTGCTTTGCGTTGCTTCGCATCACTCTGCATTGCTTCGCTTTGATTAGCATTGATTGGCACAGCTGTGGACTGCTTTGAACTGCGTGGCGTTGCGCTGCGTTGCTTGGCGTTGCTTGGCGCTGCTTGTCGCCAGCCCACCCCGAGC